TAGTGGACATTCACCTGGGAAAAGGAAAGAGCATTATGTGTAAACAGCATGCAGCGTGCATGCCAGGCAAAGGTATTTAAGTGGCTGTTTTATTGGCAGGAGTTGGATGACAGAAGATGACTATTTTTGATGTTAAGGATGAGTATTGTGATGACAAGCTTGAGTTTGACTCAGATCTAAGAAAGAGAAGTAGTGAAGAGATTATAGAAAACTTTTCTCAACATATGGCTTAATCCATGGGCATTACTATGAATGTCCATTCTTCTGCAAAAATAGAATTCTGCCTTCATTATCTTCAGACTTGACTTTCTTGTTATGGTAAATACACCTGACTTGACCTGGCCTGAATAACAAGTGCAAGGCCCAGGGTGTCTCAGTTCCCTTTATTCCCAAGAGACACAGAACTGATTCATTATGCCATCTGCAACTCCCCCCCACCCAGGAGAATCATTCTTTGTCAGCTTAAAAACTTCTAGGATACTTATAATTTAGGAAATCTGGTGCTTAATCACATGCTAATTTGTATTCTAATATTAAGTTTTAATGTATTTACATCTCATTTCCTCATATTATGTTTAGCTCTATGAGAGCAAGATTTTTTTCCTATTTTCTATCCCCTGTAGCATATTACTGACCACACATACTAAAAGAAAGAAAAAACATAAAAAAGGAAGAAAGAAAGGAAATACAAAGAAAATAAGATAAAAAGAAAAATAAATTAACTTTTTGCCACATCAAAATTTTTAGAAAACTCTAAATTGAAGATATGGGTAGAAACAAATTATTTTGAATTACTTTGATGATAAATGAACCTTTCTTCCATGCACCCAAGTATTCATATGTTGTAGTGACTTTCAGCTATAARTTTTATAAGGATAAAGGAGATGGGATGGGAGGTTTTCATTTTTAGCACCCTTTGGGTTGAAGCAATTAATTCTGCATGATATTTAATGTGTCAATATCTGTCTCCTCTTAGGATTCCATCAATAAAACGGAGATGACCAAATAYACTTCTATCTGCCTCACAAGAGGATTGCAAAATCAATGAGATGAGCCACTTGTTGAATATTCGAAGGCTGAGACTCCATTTGATGAATGATTCTTTCCCTTCTGTTCCTTTAAGAGTAAGGAAAATCAAAGAGACACTGGGAAGTGTCACTTAAGGGAAAGACACTTAAGGGAAAATCAAAGAGACACTGAAATACACTCATACCCATTTCATTTCTTTCTTTCTTTTTCTTCTTCTTCTTTTTTTTTTTTTTTTAGATTTCAGATCAAAGTTTTGCTTGGGAAGATGTCTATAATTACTTTTTTTAAAATCAGGTATTTTGGATTTCAATTATCCATTTTCCATTCCCTTTTAGTATTCAACCTACTCTATCTATGTGGAAAATTTCAACCAATTCAAAAACAAGATACTCTGAAATGTGAGYTATTCTAAATGCATCAACATGAGTAGAAGAGGGAGACTCTTACTCCACCAAGTGAAAGTTGAATGTGTCAGACTAAACGCCTGAAAAAAGAATTTCAATAGGTAAATATCAATATGGCTGAAGACAGTTTTAATAGAGATTAATATTCAACTGATGATAAAAAAAMCCCAAAACCTTGTTGCCAAAATGCCCCCAGAAGATGGCATTGTTTACACTATTGTCTGAGTGGAACAGCTGTTTACCCTTCACTATATTGAGAGCTGCAGTATTCTTACTGAAATGTTAACAAATCTTAGACAAATGTCTGCTGTTTAAGGCTCAAAGTTGCTCTGAGAACAGGTGTGTTGGAGAGAGAGAGAAAAACGCAAACTACAACTGTAAATAGGATTTTAAATTAGCTGCAATTTATATACTCTATACAGGGCCCACATATGGACATCTCAATGCAGAATTCCAATATTTACTAATAACTTGAGGATCATTCACAGTTGGGGACTTCAAAGTAACAAATTTTCCTGATTTCCTTTTAATATATATTCCAAATATATGTTACTGGCACAGTGGATTCATTTTAAGTCATTTTGCCAAAAATAAAGACATAAATCTTTTATAAGTATTAAAAGATTTTATTTAACCAGTTTTTTTTGAAGATATGTAAAAGCTTTGATTATATGGAGGGACATAAACTTGATGACTGAATATGTGTGTTCTGTGACTCTCAATTTCCTATTAGTAAAATGGTAAGGCTTGAAGTGATAATAGGTTAGGATATGGAACTACAGGAAACCTCAAACACTGCTAGCAAAGGAAGGAGAGCTATGAGTTAGTATGACTGGCAATGTGTAGTAAAACTGAAGAAAAACATTTCTTGTGATCCAGAAATTCTACTCCTAGTGTGTGAGAGAAACTAATAGACAGTTACAAAATGATAGTTTTATTGAAAAAAAATAGAAACAATGTATASATAATAAATAAAAGAATTAATGAATAGTCTTTGAAATATTAATACAAAGAAATACAATATAGCAGTAAAGATGAAAGAGGACTTAATATAGTCAAATATGTGAATTCTAASAATCTAATATTAAATAAATTGTAAAGTACAAAATAAGAGTGTTATAGCATTTAAAGAAAAGGCAAAGCTAATTAATGCTTAGAGATGTATCTGACAAACGTAGGAAAATATTAAGTATAGGAATGCTATATACCCAAAGAAAAGTTTATTAGAATATATGATGGAAGATAAATATTTATGAAGCAAGAATTCAGAAAGGGGGACTGGGGTTGTAGCTCAGTGGCAGAGCACTTGCCTAGCATGCATGAGGCACTGGGTTCAATCCTCAGCACCACATATAAAATAAATAAACAAACAAACAAACAAACAAATAAATAAATAAATCTAAATAAATAATTCAGAAAGGCCTTAAATTGTATTTTATTTCTTAATAAAATTTCTTTGGCATACATTTGAAACACACAAAATGGAATATATATATATTATATATTATATATATTTATATATATATAATCTAGAGTATATATACTCTAGATTTTCCAGTTTAATAGCAAGATAGTGTCATGGATAGGGTCACAGCTTCTGGGGGCCCAAGGTGGAAAGGAAAGCCAAGCCCAAGCAACCCCCCTTTGACTCTCACTCCCCCTATCTGCAGTCCCCTGCTAACAGGATAGCTCCTTGGGTCACCTTAGTTTTGATGTTTTGGAATTCATCATCTCCTRGGTGTGGCCTTTTGCCCACAATTACAGCTTCTGCTGGGGGGGGGGGAAATGTACTGATTTACATAATTATTTCCAGTTAGAAGCTTAGAGAGGAGAGGGTCTTTTACTTAGGACTGACAAGGCCTGCAGGATTCTTCCTTTAATAAAATAATGAGGTCACTGAGCCAGTTGTCATTGAACTATCTTTTAGTATTCCAATGATGTGAGACCAGTTCTAACCAAAACCACAAGGTTAACCTCAGGATTTATGCAGAAGCTGCCGAAACACAGCTCAATTTGCTGCAATTGTGCAGCCGGCTGCTGAAGACTAAGGGTTGTCAGGAATCCATAGTGTAAAATAAGTCTGCATAATTGTTAACGCTGTGGGTGAGAAGAGAGGGAGACATCAACTTCCTCTGAAGTGGGTAGAGTCTAACAACTCTATCAACTTGATTGTAAGCTTCACATAGGAGAAATCATTATGGTCCCTCATTTTGTTAAGGTTTGACAGCTTTCTGACAGCTTCCAATAAAAACAAAATAAGTTGATTCATGGCAAAGCAAGAGAGTCCCCAGACACATACTAGAAGTCAGAGACAGAAACTGGATTTCTTATAGAGAGCCTCTAGGAAGAAATCAAAACCACTGGTTCCCYCTTTTTAAATGTAAATTCCTCCAGCGGAGACCTCAGATTTCCAAAGCGCCAACCTGGGCTTCCACCCTGACTCTCATTACCACCACACCCATTAGTAGAGACTYTCCATCTCTCCCAGGCGCCAGCGAAACACCTAGGCTCCGGAACCCAAAGCACCGCKCACCCTGCAGTACTTGCCCGAAGCAATGTGCCAACATCGATGAGGGAGACGCGGACGTGGAAGGCCGGTGAAAAGATGAGCGATGGGAATAGGGTGCGGGGTCGGTAAAACAGGAGATTGGACATAATGCTAAACCTCTAATTCAGATCCAATAATATCAATATCCATCAGCCTTCCTACCAGAGAACGAACGCAAGGGAAATTAAATCTCACAGTTCAAAGCTCTACTTGCTCCTCCTTTCCAAAGGGAGGAAAAAAGGCATCTCGTTAGGTCATTACAAAGCTTTCCATGGGAAATTCTCTCTTCCTAATGCGTCTGTCCTTCAACTCCTTTTAGTATCCCTTCAGCAGCATTCTTCGAAAACCTTGTTTAAATTTCAGTCTCTATTCATCCCCTAGATGGGGGATAGAGAAAGGCAAAGGGAAGGGGGAAGGTAAGGAGGGAGAGAGGAAACTGGGTGGGGAGGAAGAGAAAGAGAAGAGAGAGAGAGATTAAGACTCCTTTCCCTTGCCCTCCCAGGTAGCCAAAGCGCACCGCAGCGGCGCGCCTGCTGGAGGAAACTCGCTGGAGCGGGGCTAAGACCCGCCCAGGCCGCTCTTATAGGCGAGCGCAGGGCGGGCCTGGCCGGGGGCGGTGCCGCGCGGCCCGCTTGCCTATAAGGAGCTGTCCGCCACCCCGGTGCTGATTCCTGCTCTYGAGCTTGGCGAGGTGGATTTAGCTGTCCACCGAGCTAGGCGCCTGTCTTTGCAATTGGGTTTGGATTTGCACCTTTAAGGAGCGGGGAAGAGGAGGAAGAGGCGAGCGGAGGAAGGAGAGTACAGCAAGCGGCTCTTTCGGGGACTGTAGCCTCAGCCGCAGCTGCGAAGAAGCCCTCCCCACGGTTTCGGTGGAGCGTCTGGGCGCGGGATGGAGTGAAAGAGAGTACCTCTCCAAGGGGGGGTGGGAGGGGGTCAGAAGGTGCGGACAAGAGAGACAAGCCGCGGCTGGTGCCTGCGAATTTGGAATTCSATTGGAAGGGACCACTCACTCGGGGGAAATGGATTCTGTACCAGGGCTGACCAGCGTTTTGACTTTGCTGTTCTCTGGTTTGTGGCATTTAGGATTAACAGCGACAAATTGTGAGTACCAGGATCTGAGGACGGGGAGGTGAGGTGGGAAAGGATAAAATTCGAAAATGCAATCAAAACCCCAAGTGTGTCTGCTCTGGGCACGGGAGGGCAGGAGGAAATGCTGATCAGTGTGGAACCATCGTCACTCCAACCATCCCAAAAGTTAGCAGAGCTCTCATGCGCAAGCCCTGCTAGATTCCCTTCCCTTCTCTCGCAAAGTTCCCTTCTCATCCTATCTAGCTTCCTGTTCTATGCCTGTCTAATTTCAGCCTGGGCTTTTGCCCAAAAGGGCCCCTGTTCCAATAGTATACACTGGGAGCTCAGCTTCCAGGGATAGAGCTCCCAGCCACAGCGCACAGTGACAGCGACTCATCTCTGAATGCAGCTGCCTTGGATTTGCAGTATGCCCAGCTCCCCACAATACCTAGCTTTCTGCACTGCCTTAGGCAGAAGGTTTCAGTTGGGGTGTGTTGCAACCAATGGGCACTGATTTAACCGAATTGGGAGTTTTGGCCTAAGAGTTATGGCCCGATGTAGTCAACCACAAGATCAATGGCTGCCCCTATTACAGGAGGAAGAGCTTTGATGCACACCCCACCCCCAAAATCTTTGTGCCAAGGAAACAGATAATGAGTATGCACTAAGTGTGCACTCTATCGTTCACACTCTAACCTCAGCAAGTGCAGGACCGACATTTAATTTAATAGGCAGGAAAGCTGGACACCTGGGGATCCACCACCTGCACTATGTATTTAAAGAACCCAGTTCGTCAAACTTGAATAAATCGCTAGAGCTATCAGAGGTTCAAGCTCAATTGCTCAGCTGCCTCTCTAGGCAGGGGAAAGGAAGTTTTTCCAGCTCTGGGAACTCCTAAATGAGAAGGAATGCAATTAAGCCATCTGTTTTGTTTCCAAGGATGGTTTATCATGGTCTCTTAAGTTTCTGGGTTTGCTCCCCTTTTCCATATCCCTGCCATGAACCTCAGAAATATTATATATATTGAAATAGGATTATTATTATTATTATTATTATCATTATTATTATTATTAGCATTAGCATTAGCATTCGTTTTTGCAATCTGTACTATCCCTTTTAGAGAAAGGAGGAAATAATATTTCTACTTAGGAATCCTTTACCTCACTTCCCTACCTCTGTAAGTCCAAGAGGAGTTAAATATCTCTTTCCAGTTCCAATGGGAAACAGACAAATATAATATACTGAAAACTGTCTGGAGCACAGTCAGTGTTTCTATCTGTGATCAGAAGTTTGGGAGATCTACAACCTACAGTTAGTGGTAAAGTCTTATAAAGATTTTACTGAAGTTTGTATTCTGAAGGAGGGATAAAGAGGCCAACCTCACTGGAAAGRAGGAAATTTATTTAGAAATTATTACAGGTTTTGTGGGGGCAGGTTATAATCTGATTTTTTCTTTATTTTTCCTCTCTTTTCTCACCCTCTCTCTTTCTTCTTCTCTTTCTCCCCTTCTACATTCTCTTCTTCTTTCTCTTCCTTCTTCTTCTGTGAAATCATTCCCATGGTGCTTTAGAAAAAGATCTGAGTGGTTAGTAAAAGGAAGTTAGGTATGTTTCTGAGCTAGTTTCTCTACCTTCTAGAACACTAGAGGTCAGCATTGTCCTAATGATTCAAAGGTRTGGCTGTAAACTATCACTGTTTTCCCTTTAGCACATTTGTCTATCTGAAGAGTAGATACTTTGAAAATCCACAAAGGTGGTAAAGAATAAAGATGAAATAGATAGAACATACTCCATTAGATTATGGTTTGGGCTTCCTCAAATAGCACTTTAAGAGCTTGGTGGGGAGATAGACATTTTTTGCAAATTAACTAAATTATGATTAATATGTGTTCATAATGCTCATGAAACCTAAATGGCATGGACTTAAGACTCATGCTTATCATTGCTGATGCAGTTATAGAGATAATTCTGAACATTTAAAATGAAATTTTGTGATAATGTGATAATGAGCTTTAGTATTTCATCAATGACAGTTTAATTTCCTCATTTCCAATCAACGTTCCAATTGAGTGCACACTGCTTGCTAAATATTTTGGGGTCAATGCTTTTAAGGAATAATGATAAATGTTGATTATGCTGTACAAAAGTATTAATTTGGTGAACAATAATAGGATAGCAGCAGAAAATTACTCCTGAATTCAATACAGATTGGTGGTTTTCAGAACCTATCAAACAAAACCCCTAAGAAAAAGACTTAACATTTCACATTTTCTCTAGACTGCTATTGTTCACACTTTACTCATAAATATAGAGTGTGGACTTACATCTATATGTCATTTAATGCCATTTATGCACATATCTTGAATAATAGCATTTTCTTTTCAAATGGTTATTTTTAAAGTTTATTTGGAGAAACTATTTTTTAAAGAATAAAAATATATCTCATGTCATTTGTGAAGTAGTCTTGAAAATGGATTATTGACCCAAGTTTTTTTTCATAATACATAGTTATACTACTAGACTTTGTTCAAGTAATAATAACTTTAAATTGTTTTTATATTTTTATAATTGTTTGTTGTTATTATTGTGGTGTGTGTGTGTGTGTGTGTGTGTGTGTGTGTGTTTAGTTCTTATGATCTGACTAAAACTTGGGAATTTATCTCCAAGGAAAACATGAATGCTGATCCAATTATAGATTTTATAAGTTTCTGATTAAGCAAAATTAAAATGCAGTCAGTTTAGAAGGACTGGSTATAACATAGATATTACTAATATCTGCTGAGAATATAATTACCTACCAATAATAAAAACTCCGGAAATTCCCCCATTCCAGATTTTTAGGATATTAAATAGCTAGAACATTTCCTGTGGGTTTACCCTAAGGGGATTAGTTAATTTCAAATGTAGATATAACAGACCAATGTTAAATGAAAAACCATTTTACATATAATATCAACTCCTTTGACACAGGAAGCAGCCCTGTAACTTGATAGTTCATAAAGTGAAACCAGGAATTAGAAGAGCTAAGAAGTTCTAGTCCTAGTTATTCTATAGCTAAAGTATCAAATACCCATCAGGTCATTCAACCTTCCAGTGCTCACAGTTGGCTGAATAGCAGAAGCTGTTATATATGTCTGCTCTCCAACAGAACAGCAGCTTGATGTCTTACTATAGAGATTCTTTAGGTATTAGATATGTTGATAGTCTGTTACAAAGAGAGAACTTGCATTCAAAATATAGTAGGAATGGKGATATACACAGGGATACACATAGGGTGACTATGTATTTTACAGAATAAGCAGATGTTATGTCATTATAAATCACCTTAATTTTGACCAAAAATTGCTTAAAATTATTGTTTAGCATCTTATCCAAGTTTGCTGCTGCATATTAGTTTCAAATTATAAAACCTAGAGAGTACTGAAATTCTTCACTTTTGTTTTTTCATATCATGCAGAAATGCACTCAAAATATATGAGGATGTTAATCATAAGGATCTTAGAATMAAGAAACCCACTATACCTTGAGTTATCTGAAGCCTACACACAAACCCAATCAATAAGTAATGGTATAAGTAAACAAAGATCATGCTGATCTTCTTATCAGGAAAATCTTATTTCTTTCCATAGTACATAGTTATACTAGTACACTTTGTTCAAGTGATAATAACTTAAATTGTTTTTTATGATAATTTGTTGTTTTTGTTGTGGTGGTGTGTACTTTCATTGGCATCTACAGTTAGCAAAAGTGAAGGAAGCACTTTAATGCTCATTTAGAAGAGTCCTAAAAATGTTTCCCACTGTTTTGAGTTGACTTTCTTTGATGGTACYATCCTAATGAACTCTCTTTTCATTCCTTTTACATGTCTCCCTATTTCCAAACCAGATTGGTATGTTTTACAATTGTAACATGTGAATTAAATGATAGACCAATAATTTTCCAACAAAACTCCAGACTTGATGAGGAAATTAGTTTCTATATGAATAACTGCTTCCCTCCCCACTTCTTCTTGACCTAATGAATAACTATCCTCTAAATTACAATTTTCTTTGACTCTACTCCTCTGCCCAATTGCATTTGAAATCTTTATTGAGTCCCAGTTCCTTGGCTGAATTGCATCACTTTTCAGTGTCCATTTGTTATAAAGTAATGTGATAATATTCAAAATGTTTCTAAACTTTTTAGTTGGAAATCCCAAGTCTTTTAGTTTATAAGCCAGAAGTCTGCAATGTGCGACCTGTACATTCAATGTGAATTATCCTCATCAGAAAGGAAGGCTGGGATGGATCTAGTTACCTGAAAGGCCAGAAGACAATAGTGATTTACTTAATAGGATTTCATCAAGAGGTTGCTGTGTACTCATTAGAAGCGTATAATGACATTTTTAATTCCAAGAAAAGATATCTTCATTCATCAAAAGTCTGCCACTTTCTGACCAATGACCTTGTAAAGGTTACTTACTTATCTTGATGATCTTTGTGTACTAAATGAAGGAATTGGATCAWATTATTAAGGCACTACCTACTTGTAATGTATTTTTTTTCTTAAACTGCTGATTTTTCCATTTTCTCATTCCATGTGTATACCTTGGAATGATTGTGTTCCAAAATTGTAAAGTAAATATAATTAGAATGATAGAATAATAGGTTTTAATTCCTAGCAACAAGAGGCACTTTATATCACTCACTTCATACACATAGTTTTATAAGGTGGCTCAGCTAGGTAGAYATTTATAGATTCAGTTTACAGATGAGTAAGTTTTAGGTTAATAGAAGTTAATGATTTCCCTAAGATCACAAAGCTAAACAATGAAAAATTCAGTATTGGGAAGTATATTTATCTCTCTTTAAATACTAAACTCTTTGCAAAACATGACTTTCATTCCAATGCATTTGGTTAAGTGCTACATATTAGCTTTTGTAGAAACTGGGCATGGTTTCTCTGAGATTGGTGTAACTATATTGTGGCAAAAGGCATAGATCAGCAGTTTTTGCCAGAGTCAACTCCTGAGTCATACCTTTAAAAAGTAACAAA